TGAATCTCTTGATTTGTGTTCCTTGGAAATGCTATTTTAAATGCTATTTAGACACAGCGAATGCATACAATGTGAAGAGCTAGCCTCTGTTTACTGAGCAGTAAGTAGGAACCCGGTTGTTAGTCGATTGGCGGATCACTTTCTGAGAGGTAATAATCCCTTTTTTAAAAAAAGCGGTCCTTCAATCCACCACTGTTTGTGGGGACGCTGCTGTGCTCAACTAGATGCCACATTTCGCCCACAAAATATGCAGTCAATTCACTTGACAGTATATTCTGTGAAGTGCTTTGAGACGTCTCGACAATGTGATAAGGCGCTATATCAAATGCTATAAAAGTATAACTCGTAAAAAAAAGTAAGTTGTGTGGAAATGATGAAGTAGTGGCCTCCCACTGAATGTAAGCTAGATCTGAACCAGCAATATTGTGAGTTTCTCCTTGAGAACCGATGAGAGGAAGGCCAGATCAATGCTAAGTTTCCACTCTGTCGCTGCAATCTGTTCGCCATCTGTGCGGAAGGAATTGCTCTTTTCTGTTCCGTTGGGTAAGGAACCCCACCATAGGGAACAGACCAGTTGCTCACTCCAATGGAAGTGTGCCACCTGTCAACCACAATATCCCACAGAGGAGCACAGGAATTAGCAATCCAAAACTGGGGGATGAGCGCAAATCCACCCACTTGTGTGGTAACCTTCTAGTCCTCAACATTACTGTGCACGATTCCAGATCTTTTATCAGCTCATTGTCATAAAACCATGGCACATAAAGAATTCCGTTAATTGGCTGCCGTGTTTCGCCTACACAGTATACACAGTCACTACACGTTGCAGTATATCCTGTGAAGCGCTTTGAGAAGTCTCAACGATGTGATAAGGCGCTATATCAAATGCAAGGATTATCCTTATTGTTATTAACATCTGATTTCTCAGCAGTAATTGTTTTATATTAAATACAGTACTTGGATAAACGATCTGCATTGAATGTGTGTGTGTGTGTGCGCGCACACACTGATGACCTTTCTGGTGGAAACATTAGGGAATTTACATTTGTTTTATTTATTACATTCAAATATTGTTCAGGAATGGGGAATATTTAGCTTGTTTCTACCTTTCAAGCTGTTTTACATGTAAGACTGAGGAGGATTGGATTGCCCAGTATGTTACCAGGCCATTTTTCTACTTGAGTTGTGGGTTTGAATTTGTCGAGGTGGATGGGATTAAAGCTCTTCACTCTGTTCACTGTAAAGTTCCTCCTCGAAGTTCTGAAAGGCACAGGCTTGCTGAATAAGTTTACCCTCAATTTAACATTAAATGCACAATCTCACTATTAGCACGAAACAGTAAAAGGTTACACAAATCAAATCATTTTGCATTGGAAACAACCAGCTCCTTTATCGATCATAAATCAAATAACCGTTCTACAAAACAAAATAATCTGCACACAAACCTATGTTCCCAAAGTGCGTTGCTATTTTGTTTTGAGGTAAAATCTGGCAGTTTGTCGCAGATCTGGCATAAAAGAAGCTGATTCAGGAACATTTTCTGCTTGGATCGGATTAGTGTATTTACACACAATGTAACCGGGTTTGCAATCGATGGTTGAAGACAGTTGGAATTGGACATGTTTTCTGGAGTTGACTTCAACTCTTGCAGAATGTATTGGTTTTTCACGGTTCAGCAAATTGCGATTTTTTTTGGAAAAACGAGATCCAGCTGTTGTTGTCATTGGGTGAGATAACAGCAGCTGTCTCCAAGCTGCTAAACACCGTTGTACACCTGTCCTGTACTGGAGTAACTCTGGATTTCCTGGGATTCCACACGCACATCTACTGAACAATCTGGAAACCTCCACTGCCACATGGTGCAAACGTCAGATTAACCGTGTGGCTGAGGACACTGGATTCCTGTAGCTCAGTGGTTAGAGCACTCGCCTCACAAGTGAGAAGTCCTGGTTTGATTCCCGGGCAGGGAGAAACATTGGGCGTACTCCACACGCCTCTGTTTACCCAGCAGTAAGGAACCCGGTCGCTCATCGATTGGCGGATCGCTTTTCCGGGGGGTAATAATCCCTTCAAAAAAAAATAATAATAATAATAATTTGGTGACTCGATCCACAGCTGTTTGTGGGACACGCGCTGCTGTGTGCAATTGGCTGCCACATTTCGCCCACAAAATCTACAGTCAATTCACTTTACAGTGTGTTCTGTGAAGCGCTTTGAGGCGTCTCGAAAACGAGAGTTTTCCCCATATCCCCAAGAGTAAATGCCATTGTTTTTTTAAAACAAAAATCCAAACCACATCCTTTACCCATCCACATCCCATTCCATTAGTTGTGTGAATAGCAACCCACATCTATGGGGGGGGAAAATCCAGATGAAAGCCATTTGTGATGAAAATTTGTTTTATGACTGATTTAAATCTGTCATGTTCTTTCTTTCTCTACCACATGAATGCATATATTAATGTATCAAAACACAGTGTCATTTGGGATTTAGGAGAAGAAAATCCAGCCTTTAATGCTCTTAACCAGTTGCACAGCAACCCAGAAAGTAATTAGTTGCTACTTAAATGTATGAGTGATTTCGGGGAAGGTTTAAAGAGAATCCTCCTCATTGGCATGAGATGTGAGCAGGGTTAGTTACACAGAATTGTCACTTCTCAAGCCAAGCTGAAAAGATTACTGTCGGCAATAGTTTGTCCACAATTGTTTGGCAGTGTCGGTTGAACTGGTGCATTCTGTGCTGTTTACAAGAAAATCTTAATGAGATCCTGTTGTTTAATACCACCGTTAACTCAGGTCATAAATAGTAAAAATCTAATTTTATCTCAAACTATTTAGGGCAGTATTAAAATAACACTGATCCAATCGAATAATAAAATAAGATGTGGGTTTATGTTACTCTCTCCTTTCCCAAATCCTGAATTAAAAACAACACACGCACACTACAAATAGAATATTTAAATCACTATATAATAATAATAATCCTTACATTTGATACAGCGCCCCATCACATCTTCGAGACGTCTCAAAGCGCTTCACAGGTTACACTGTAAAGTGGAGTGACTGTGTATTTTGTTGGTGAAATGCGGCAGCCAATTGCGAATACTATAATAGATAATGTAATGGTAGTATTTTTGTTTCAATTGTATCTTAATGTTAAACTCCATTTTTCTTATTTCACTTCATAACTTTGTATGTTATCTTAGGCGCGGTTAAGGTCCTGCGACTCACTCGTCGAAATTATATTCCTGACGTGCTCCTGTCCATTTGTGTAGGGGGGTAATAGCTGTTTCAAGATGCGTGAAAACTGTAAAACTTGTGCACCAAAAAGAAGCAAAGTCTTGATTTGAAAAACCCTTGATTTGAATTGTGCCTTTAATTCTCTCCCAACCCCACGCACATCACTGTCCAGCATATGTCCAGCTGTTGGCAAAATCTGCTTTAATGTTCAACTAATCAGCTAAACATGCCTCTCTGTTATTTGATTGCTTTTTAAGGTTGGAGCAATCTGCATTTTGACGAGGAGTGCGGTTATGATGGGAGAATAGCCCCGATATAGGCCCACAATGTCAACATGGGTCATTTCCCATCCAATGTGTGTTCATTCTGTAATTGTTATGAAACTTTGAGAATGCCATATGTTAATCACATCAAGTATATAGCTGTATAATCCAACCATGTTCTAATTAATCAACCCATTTTCTAGATTCCGGTACCCTTTTTTCTGAACAACATTAGGCACATTTCCTTACTCCACACGCCCTCTGTTTACCTAGCGTTAAGAAGGAACCCGGTTGTTAGTTGATTGATAGATCGCTTTTCCGGTGGGTGGGAGCTAATAATCCCTTCCTCAACAAAAAAAAATTAAAAATAATAATTTGGTCACTCACTCCACGACTGTCTGTGGGACACTTCTTGTGCAATTGGCTGCTGTGTTTCACCCACAAAATAGTCAATTCACTTTACAGTGTAGCTTTGAGATGCCTCGCAGACGTGATAAGGAGTTATATCAAATACAAGGATTATTATATTATTATTATTAGAAACAAAACAGCCTTAGATTTAAGTTTCAAGGAATCATTCCCTTATAATCCAACGGCTCCCACCTCCTCTTGCTGTGACTGCAGGAAGGCCAGCTGGAGTGGTAGCTGTAATAGCCTATTGCTCTGTCACGGACTGCCACACACTGCCTGGTAAACAGGCTCAGCCGGACATGGGGAGGAATGCACAGCTGCAGGCGTTAGCACAGACCAGCCCAGCCAGGCCTGCCTGCCCCGTTAGTCACTCCTTCCACTTTACATTTTAAATAATGCCACGTTTCAACCACAAAATGCAATCAGTCCACTTTACAGTGTATCCCGTGAAGCGCTTTGAGACGTCTCGAAGATGTGATGAGGCGCTGTACCAAACACAAGGATTATTATTATTATTATTATTAACAACATCATCCACAGCTGACTGAAACTCCTCAGAGCTGCCATCTTGAATATCTGCTTACGTTTCTCAACAGTGGATATTCCGATGAAACTTTATGGGAGAGTTGATTTGTTTAGGGTGTTGCCCTGTAAAGTGGCTTGGGAGGGAGGCTCCAATATGGGAAAGAATATGGCACTGATTTGGTAACAAAATATCTCCGTGGATAGGAATGCTAATAACAGATAACAACCGGCCTTGAGAAGCAAAGTGACAACAAGTTCAGGAAGGAGATGATACAGGAACTGGAGGTTGGATATCTGACAGAGGAGTCTTCCAATAGGCTTGATTCCAACGTGTCTTCTGGTTTTCCCCGTATAAGAAAGCAGCTGAAATCTGTGTCGTGTTGAGGTTGTTTATATTTTGGTACAGACCACATCCGATCAAACTGAGGCAGGTCTTGTGCAAGTGTGGGGACTTGACTCCAGCCTACACTGCCAGTCAACCTGATGGTAACGTTTTTAACAGGCAACTCACTAAAGAAGATGACTGATGACCAACAGTGTGGACAATGTTGCCCTTTTTCAGGTCATGGGGAGTGCCAGTGCGGTGAATGCCGATGCCAAGCCGGCTGGATCGGGGACAACTGTAACTGCTCGACGCAAACCAACTCATGTCTCTCCAACGACGGGCAGGTCTGCAGCGGCCGAGGCAACTGCATCTGCGGCCAATGTGTTTGTGCTGAACCTGGCGCCTTTGGGAACACTTGTGAGAAATGCCCGACATGTCCAGATGCCTGTGGCACGAAAAGGTACAGAACGTTCTCAAGACTGATTTGGAGAGATGTTTGTTAGGGCAGGGTATCAGAATAATAATAATAATCAATGATAATCCTCGCATTTGTTACAGCGCCTTATCACGTCTTCAAGACGTCTCAAAGCATTTCACAGGATACACTGTAAAGTGAACTGACCGTATATTTTGTGGGTGTCAAGGGATATGGGGCAAAGACGGGTAAATTGGAGTTGAGGTACATATCAGCCATGATCTTACAGAATGGCAGAACTGGCTTGAGGGGCTGAATGGCCTCCTCCTGTTTCTAACAGATGCTTTTTTCAGTCAATTTGGTGACACATGCTCATCTGTCACTGTACATACATCCTCTAATTAAAGTGTAGCCACTGTTAACTAGCAGTCTCATGACTGAAGGGATGGACTTTGACTATAATATACTGTCAAATCCGGACTCAAGTATCATGCACGCTTTCTACCTGGCAATCTCAGTTTACATTTTTGGAAACTAAGCCCCTGATTTAGTTTAGCTCAGTTATAAATGACCCTTATGTGGAATCAACCAGATTGCCCTGTGATTAGTACCTGTAATTACTTACTGTTAAGGGATTGAATAGTCCAATGCTTCACAACACTGTGTGAGGGGGGAGGGGTGGGATTTGTGTTGTTTTACTGCACAGGAATGCAGGTAAGTAAAGCCAGTAAAATGAGCCCGCTAGTTAATGCCGTGTTTATACTCTGACTAGCAGTCGAGTGATAGAAGAGCAGGAAGTCCAACTCATATTTACTGCTGCTCACTGCAGCCAAGGCTATGAAAGTCAAGCATCTGACTTTGCAGTGCAGTTATGTTTAAAGGATAACATTACGATTCGGATCTCTGCTGTTTTCAAGGCTGTGAAACATTCTGTGAATGGCGAAAGTGGGTGGGAAATACAATAAACATTGGCTGAAACCTGCAATAAACATTTCCAGCTGGTTTGGTTAGGTGTGTACAGTTTGGCACAGAGATTTCAAACTCTGATTGTGAGGCAGCCAAAAAAGTTTCATCTCCCTTCGTTAGAATTCTGTGGAGTCTGTATCTCTAAAGACCTTCCTTTTTGATCGTGCTTACGGTCACCTCCCACCTCCCTCTCCCCACCTGGCTCGGGGTCAGACTCCACCACTGTCAAGCGCTCTGGGACTCTACCCTGCATTAAGGGCGCTGTGTAAATGCAAGATGTTGTTGTCTCACTCAGACGCTAACACATGATGGTAGGGTTCGAGCAGCCAGTCAATGATTCACTGAGAGAAGAACATCTCTTGTTAGTTTGGTTTGTTCAGATGGAATGGAATCTAAAACTGTGAATGTGTAATTGAGGCAAAGTATAAGTTGATTGAGTTGGACATGAGTTTTCTTCTGGGAAGACAATGTCTTGCTTTACATTAATGCCTTAATTATTAAATTCAATTCAATTAAGTCAGTGAATGCTGAGTCTTCAGAGTTTCAGTGCTGAGTGTTTGATAGGGTTTTTCAAAATGTACTTTGGTTTATATGGTTACATAGCAGGACAGTCAACTAATACACGGATAATTAATGAAGAAGCAAAACTACAATTAATTACTGCAAAGATATTCTCTATTAAAATCATGAATGCTCATCTCTCACATTGACACACATCCAACTCAGCCTGGCCTACAGTGCTCACTTAACTGAGCAGAACCATGATTTCTCCGGTAAAGGTGGAAAACAAGATGATTTGAGTGTGATTATTGAAATGAAAGTATGGAAACTAAACCGATGATCCATATCTTGGCCCTTTTTTTTTACAAATTTGATCACTCAAATAATTTACGACTATTTGTGGGACGCTGCTGTGCTCAATTGGCTGCCACCCACAAAATATACAATCAATTCACTTTACAGTATATCCTGTGAAGCGCGTTGAGACGTCTCGAAGAGGTGATAAGGAGCCATATCAAATGCAAGGATTATTATTATTATTATTCTGTGTTGTCATTGTTTGTTCCAGGGAATGCATTGAGTGCAGACTGTTTAACTCAGGAAGACTGGCTGACAATCAAACCTGTCAAAGACACTGTAAGGATGAGATCTTGACGGTGGACGTGCTCAGTAAGTACCTATCATTTGCGGCTTTTACCTTTAAAAACAAAACCTAAATGAGTGGAAATAATGATAAAAATTTTATCCAATCTCAACATTCACCCCACTATCAAAATAACAGAGAACATCCTTTATAAGTGGAGGCTGTTCTGGAATTCTTTGATTGTTTACTTTCTAATGTACATTCTGTGAAGCGCTTTGAGACGTCTCGACGACCCAATAAAGTGCTATATCAAATGCAAGGATTATTATTATTATTTTTAAATAGATCAGCCAAGAACCTTTGCCCTCGACCTCCTATATGAGTAGTCTGGTTGGGCTGTTTTTTGTTTTTTTTGAACGGATTAATCCTTTATAGAACACAAGGACGTTGTTTAAATTGACTGAAGTTAGAGATACTGGAAAGCCTTCTTAGATTATGACATATTATTTATTCTAGGAACTATTTTAGAGTCTTTACTCCCTGCTATTTCAGCCATGTGCCCAAAACTCCTAATGCCCTGCAGATGTTTATACAGGAAGTAGGTTTCACAGATACTTCACACATTTTAAGCAGGAGCTCCTTGTTATGAAATACAAAAGTTATTTAAATTGAAAGGTGATGGCAAAAGGCAACAGCACGTAAAAACTGGGGCTGGGGATTTATTCTCTAAGTAACTAAAATGATATAGATAAGCGGAGTTTTATAATTTACTGAACACACTGTTGTGTGTGTGTGTGCGTGCGATGCTGGGATTGTAAGCGTATATAGCTGGTACGTGTCACAGCACTGAGTTCTGTTTCCTGTTTGCAGAAACAGATGAGGAGAATGCAGTTCTGTGTCTGTACAAGACCGAAAATGACTGTGTGATGAGATTTACCTACTCCGAACACGTCAGTGGGAAATCTATTCTTACTGCCCTGAAAGAACCAGGTGGGTGGATTTTTTTGTATCGTCAGATGTGACAGCCTGATTTGAACAACAACTTGCATTTGTGTAGCTCCCTTCACATGGGGTAGTGTCCCGGAGCGCTTGACAATGGAGGAGTCCGACTCCTAAATCTCACCTAAAGACCTTCGTTTTTTGTTTGTGGTTAACGTCAGCTCCCCCCTCCCTCTCCCCCTGGCTCGGCGTTACCCCACCTGAAGGGCGCTGTATAAATGCAAGTTGTTGTTGTAAGTCAATGTCACCTTCTAAAATCCTCTCCTTTGGCTTGGATTCCCCCCTGAGCAATTCATCTAAATGGGTAAAATACGTTGATTATCCACCCGGCTATTAATTTTCACATCCCTGGATGTCCCAAGAATATACACTGACACAAGAAGTGGCATAAAGTCCAGATTATCCTCAAACCACGCACGTTGTTTCTAAACACTGTGCAAAAACAAGGGGTCAATTCAATTGGCGGATGGTATAACAGGGCCAGCCAGTTGCTTGAAACTCCTGCGATTTTCGCCCATGAAACGCACAGTCACTACACCTTACGGTACATTCTGCGACGCACATTGAGAGGTCACAGCGACGTGACAAGGCCGGATATCAGATGCAAGGGTTATTAGGATTATTATTGCTAGAATTTGAATGTATTTCTTTGAGCTGAGTGTATTGACAAGCCTCTGATTACGTTACAGAATGTGCCAGCGAGGCTCTGTCAGTGTCGGTCCTGCTGGCGGTGGTGGGGATTATCCTGGCTGTGGGCATCGTCTTGCTCGCCATCTGGAAGTTGATTGTCACGGTCCACGATAGGCGGGAGTTTGCCAGGTTTCAAAGTGAGCGTTCCAGAGCCAGATACGAGATGGTGAGGCTTTTGGTTATATTGTCAGCAAGATGAAATTATTGACAAATGTTCACCGTGACAACGAGTCCTGCAGCTCAGTGGTTAGAGCACTCGCCTCGCAAGCTAGAGGACCCGGGTTTGATTCCCGGGCAGTGCGAAACGTGAGCCAAGTTTCCTTACTCCAGTAAGTTTACTTAGCAGTAAGCAGGAACCTGATTGTTAGTCAATTAGCGGATCGTTTTTCCGGGAGTAATAATCCCTTGAAAAAAATGTGGTCACTCAATGCACAACTGTTTGTAGGACGCTGCTGTGCGCAATTGGCTGCCACGATTCACCCACAAAATATCCAGTCAATTCACTTTACAGTGTATCCTGTGAAGCGCTTTGAGACGTCTCAAAGACGTGATAAGGCGCTGTATCAAATGCAAAGATTATTGTTATTATTTCTAGCATTTTATTAACTGAGTGAAACCTGTTCCCAAATAAATAAGCACAGTTGTGAGGTGGAGGGTCTGGGGGTAACGAACCCTCAATGCTAAACGTCACTCTACTTCTTTCTCCTTTCAGGCAAGCAATCCTCTGTACCGGCAGCCCATCACCACTCATAATGTGGAGACTGTTTCAACTATGCACAACAAATCTTACAACGGTATCGTTGAATGATTGAGGAGCGGGAGTCCCAACAGCGAATGCGGTATTCCCTCCGCACTACCAGCAAGAGCCCATTTGGTTTTGCGTTACTGACCTAGCAACTGGAAGTCCTGCCCTCCAACGCTGGTGGGCAGTATTCTTGAAGCGAGTCTGAATCGTCAGCGTTCTGTGTAAAGACTTGGTACTTTGGCATCTGGCTGATTTGAGACAGTTGACCTTCACCCAGTTGTCCGCCCTCTTCCGCCTTCCCCAGTAGTAAGTTCTTGCCTCTCTGCCCCCACCCTCCGGGACTCCATCCCACAGTCCCTTCGCCTTGCTCCGCTTCAACCGCTCCTTCGGCCACCTTCCTACCCCCACCCTCACTGCCCTCTAACCCTCCTAATCCCAACCCCCAGCTCGGGTCCAAATCCCTACCTGTCCAGGGCCTTGGGACGTCCTCCCGACGTGAAAGGCGCTGTGTAAATGTAATTTGTTGTTGTTGGACTATAACGTTTTCTTGTTGAAGAAGTCATTACTTTGGGTTTATGGCTGCGTTATTGGGGTCACAGAGATTTTAAACAACATTTTTAGGGCAAATTAATTTTTTTAATTAAAAAAACCATGATTTGCCCTGATGCAAAATATTCACAAAATACAGGGTTGATGATTCAATATGATAAAAAGGCTGCATTTTTTATTTCAGATTTTCTTAATGTAAAAATACTGTTTAGCATAATATTAACATAACAAAATAATGAATACTAACACAATTCCCCTTAATTTCCTAGAAATTTTGTTAATTTACATATACCAGCTCCAAAACAATGTAATTCAAAATGTTGTTTGGACGTCATATATAGCATTAATTTAGTTGTAGAAATGCTATATCATGGCTGCTTTTCCAATGGCCCAATATACTGTAAATCCAAAGCAATAACACTAATCAATGTTTTACCGAATAGAGAAGTTTTAAGAATTTTGTTTTTGTGTTTTGTGAAACATTTATTGTCACTGTTGCGTTGTTCGCTCCTTTTGCACATGGAAGAAAAATGGCATCGGGTGGGGGGTAACACTGTGCTATTAAACTGTTCTGGGAGAGATTAACTAACGATGATCAGCATTGTAACTCTTCTTGTTAAGCAATCGCAGAAAAGCGGATACAGGGGGAAATCTGTTTGAACGCTTTAAAGAAGTGCACTTTCAAAAAAAAAGCACAGTTAACTTCTGGGTACTGGATTGAGTTCATACAATGCGGAGGTGAATATTGCTTTGTAATATTGAACTAATAATAATGCATTCTTATAGAAATAATTCATGTTCTAGACTTGTATAAGCACTGATTCAATACTGGTACGGTTCAGAAATCATTTGAAGATGGTTCGTTCTCTAAACTTGTGCATAATATGAGTGCAGGACTCTCTCTTTGACTTTGTTTTTAAGTGCGTGTTCCTACAGGGGTTCTAATTGATACTGACGAGAAGGAAGCTAGTTATACTGATCCTAGAGTATTACAATTTGCCTTATTGCTCCTGGACAAGAGAAAGGCTTTTTCAGCCATGGATTTCAATCCTGATCACTATCTGGTAAATCTGATGGTGAAACATGAATGTAAAAATATGTGGCCGACTTGTTTGTTGGTATAACTAGTGAGACATTGCTATCATTACCTTGGCAGGACTAGGATTTGTTACTCTGGTAACAACGCTACCATTCATTTTATTATTTCACGTGTTAAAGCTGCCTAAGAGAAAGAGAACAGTTCTTCTCAATCACCTGACCTAAAACTTTAGATGCATCAAAAAAGTAGAAGATTGTGCCTTAGTTCGTTAGTCAAGAAAAACCTTCACCCATAAATTAGCTCTTTCTCTCTGACTATTGTTAAATATTATCAGTCCACCCTGCTTTTCATGCAGCGTCTGTCCTCATGGCTGTGTCCTCTCCAATTACCAGCATTTTCCTATATAACTGCTGGGAGCACACTCACTGCGTAAGTAGGTCATTTCAGTTGAAAGAGGAAAAAAACAGTAAAGTTCTTTCCTTTCCCAATAAAACGAGAGAAAATGATCCAAATACATGTGTAGTTTACTTGGGAGTCTACCAATTACGCTCTGTAACCAAAAACATTCTCACTCTGATAAAACAAATCTGCCTAAAGGAAGCACTTGCCAATAAAAAAGCGACAATATGTGGACAATATGTCCACAGTTTCTGCCCAAATATATCCCATATATACAGTGTTACAAATTGCTCCTTTTATAACACGCAGAAATGCTGGTTGCACATGTCTAATTGATGGGGAATATGTTTCAAAGGGCACAGTTCCTTTGTTTACCACAGCGACTATCCAGAGTACTTTGCTCCTCAAGCGCTTTCCTCTGTGAGGCTTCACGCTTATATTTCTGCCCCAAGCTGATATAGGTGGTCTTCACATGGTCTTCTGTGGTATCACAAAAAAAATTACATTAAAATTTTAAAAAATTAAAAATTGTAATGCAATGTAATTCACCCCATACTGGCTTTACGCTGGATTCTTCCACTTTTTTTGCTGGTGGAGATCAGGACAGTGAGCCACGCCACAGCATCCAAAGACCCATCTCCCCCTGCTTGTACTGCCCTCAGTGAGGTCGGACTTCCCAACTGTGAAGATAAAGATCTTGGGAAGCAATGAGTTTGCCTCCAGCTTCACCATTGGCTAAAGGTCTCCCACCCACACCTGTCTCTGGATAAATCACACAACCCCCAAGGCTCCCTTCACCTTTCCTTTCTTAATCCTTGTGCCTAGAGAGAAGACAATCAGTTTAACCTTTACAATAACTGAGAAGATTTTTTTTCAGATGTTCAGAAATTCCTTTAATTTGCTTTTTTTTACGGAAAGCTGGAAACCAAAGAACGGTTCTCATTTCACCTGAAAGGTTCCTCCATGGCCTTGCTCTTCCTACCTCTGTGACCTGCTAACGCCATATCGACCTGTCCGATCCCTCCTCTCAGCAGGCTCCGGTCTGCTCCAGCCTCTCTGCCCCCACCCTTTGGCACTCCATCCCACATTCCCTTCGTCTCGCTCCTTCCCTTGCCTCCTTCCAGGCACGTCTCAAGAACCTCCTTTTCGATCGCGCCTTCGGTCACCCTCCTACCCTTCCCCTCCCTGGCCTCCTCCCCTCCTGATCCCAACTCCCAGCTTGCGCCCAAATCCCTGACTGTCCAGCGCCTTGGGACCTCCTCCCGACATGAAACACTCTGTGTAAATATCGTTTGTTGTTGCGGTTTTACATTTGCAAACCCACTGAGTCTCTCCAGTGAAGGCAGATATCTCTGACATTTCAGTAACTCAAGATTTCTGTTTGTGGACAGCCTCACAATCTAATAAAGTACTTTGGTTCCAGTTTGATTGATTGTCTTTCAAAGGACAGTTCGCTGAGTTGTAAACACTCCTGACGAGATGTGGTGCTGTCGCCAAAGCCATTTTAAACGTAAAACTTTGATAAGTTTTGACAATTGTTTCAGATGGATTGGTGGAGAGCAACCAGAGTACAAGGGAGAGAGAGGGAGGGTGGAGGAGCTTGTAAAGAGAGAGGGAGGGAGAACTGGAGAGTAAATGATACTGGGAGAGTGTAAGCAGAGATAGCAGCACGAGGAGACTGAGTGTGTGAGTGGGAAGCCTGCAGAAAGAACGACCAAGGAGTTTTGCATAGTGTAGGACGTTTTTTTAAAAAAAAACACTTTAAACTTTTAACTATTGAAAGTTCAGGTGGCGTGCGTACGTGAATACCTGAGGGAATGAGCTGACGGCAATATTTCAAGGTCATCACTTTCGGTGAGTGAGCTTGTAACTTTTTTCTCTCTCTCTTCTCTCTTAAAAACTTTTAATTCCACAAGTTGGGAGACAAGCCAACATGTTTTAAATGAGATCACGGCACATACAATAACCTGAGAATTGTCAGACTCTTTATGTGTTGACTACTTAAAAGTAAGGGTTACTTTGTAAATAGCATTGATTAAACTTACATTAAGTAACGATCTTATATTGAATCCTGTCTGCGTTTTTGTTAATCATTTTGACTCTTATTCAAAACTTTTCTGTCTTTGTTTACATTTCTGTAAACACATTTGGTAAGTACTGTGTTGGTAAATATTATGAGACGACACAGGGCAGCTGCTGATTTGCATTCAGCAAGTGAAAACATTCCAAGGAATCCATGTGTAAAATTGATGGGATTTAGAGAGAGTCACATGTTCTCTGTGAGTGGGAGTTAGGTATACTCCTTAGATCCCTTCGGGACTTGCAAACAAATCCCAACTAACTTCAATTGACATGAGAGTATTATTCCACTGCTTTCACCCACAAAATACACAGTCACTCCACTTTACCGTGTATCCTGTGAAGCGCTTTGAGACGTCTCGAAGAACGTGATAAGCCACCAAATCGAAAGCAATTATTATTATATTATAAGGATTATTAACATTTTTATTATTGTTTTGTGTACATTCGCCGTTTCCCATTTTGCAGAATATTGCAATAAATGTCTGTCGCTGCTTCCTGTAATATAGAACTGACTCAACTTTCCTTTCAGTGGTTTGCATGGAATTCCAGGCCAACTGGTTATAATGACTTTTTGCAGCTCAGCTGACCGAGTGGTGGGTTGCAGTAAATATTCATGATATATATACGGTATATCTAAGCGCTCTGAGACACTACCCTGTGTGCAAGTTGTTGTATTAATCCCTGGAATATTCTGCCATGGTAATGAATAGATTTTGTTTTCACCGGCAACACTTGGTAAAGTGCAGAAGTCTGTTAGAACAGTAGCTTCCATGTGTAGTGGCTCTAAATGGACTTTGTTCTTCACAACATATTTCTTTGCGGTACCAAATTGTTACTATTAGTGGTGTTCAGCTTTAGTCCGCTGGTGGTACAGATGATTTACTCGACCGACCAAAACTGTGAGTGGTGAATGGAGATTTGAAATAAAGCTCACATTAGTTATAAGATGGTAATAAACTGGTTTAGCCCACAATATGCACCAGCAAAACCACTTTGGAGACAATAGACAATGGGAAAACTCAACCATATGTGGAACTGCAGCTGTTGTGGAGCTAGATATGTTTTTTTATTGGACTGCGAGACAGTGAGTTTGTGAAAGCGAGTTTTAGCAAACACGTCATCAAAAACAAGAAGATGGACAGGGTAAAAGGGAAAAGGGAAAGTCATGTCTGAAGAGAAGAGCAGAACATCTTCGAGGTAAACATTCCTGGAGGAGATGTGGCAGCGAATTAAACAGTAAGCAAAAGGCAAATTACTGCGGATGCTGGAAATCTGCAATAAAAGCAGACGTGGCTGGA